AAGGCTTAAATTTTTTCCTCAGTTCTTTCAGCTTGAGAAATGCTGAGCATGTTCTTCCCTTTTGGTTTTTTAACTCTAGGTCTTTGTACATTTCATGATAGTAATTGGCTTTGTCTGCTCGAGCTGCTCTTTGAAACTTCTGTTCAGCTCTTTCATTTTGTCGTTTCTTCCATTTGCTTTAGCTACTCTCCATTCAAGGGCAAGTTTCAGAGTCTCTTCTGACATCCATTTTGGTCTTTTCTTCTTTTCTTGTGTTTTTAATGACCTCTTGCTTTCTTCATGGATGATGTTCTTGATGTCATCCCACAGTTCTTCTGGTTTTTGGTCAGTGGTGTTCAGTATATCACATCTATTCCTTAGATGGTCTCCAAATTCAGGAGGGATATATTCAAGGTCATATTTTGGCTCTCATGGGCTTGTTTTAATTGTCTTCAACTTCAAGTTGAACTTGCATATGAGCAGATGATAGTCTGTTCTACAGTCAGCTCCTGGCCCTGTTTTGGCTGAAGATACTGAGCTTTTCCATTGGCTCTTGCCACCGATGTAGTCAATATGATTCCTGTGTACTCCATCTTGCAAAGTCCGTGTGTATAGCTGCCATTTGTGTTGTTGAAAAAAAGGTATTTGCAATGAATAAGTTGTTGGTCTTGCAAAATTTTATCTGTCACCAAGGCCAAATTTTCCGACTACTGGAGATTCTTCTTTGTTTCCAACTTTTGCATCCCAGTCACCAGTGATCATTAACACATCTTGATTGCACATTTGGTCAATTTCAGACCGCAGAGGTTGATAAAAATCTTCAATTTCCTCATATTTGGCTTTGGTGCTTGGTGCATAAATTTGAATAATAGTAGTATTAATGGGTTTTCCTTGTAGGCTTATGGATATTATCCTATCACTGACAGCACTGTACTTCAGAACAGATCTTGAAACATCCTTTGTGATGATGAATGCCACGCCATTCCTCTTCAAACTGTCATTCTCGGCGTAGTAGATCATATGGTTATCTGATTCAAAATGGCCAAAACCATTTCAGCTCACTAATGCCGAGGATATCAATCCTTCTATTCCTAGTTTGCTGAGAATTTTTATCGAGAATGGATGTAGAATTTTTGTCAGATGGTTTTCTGTATCCATTTATCTGATTATATAGTTTTTCCATTTTATACTATTGTCATGATGGTTTACATTGATTTTTGATTACTGAACCAGACTTGGAGTCCCAGGATAGACCTCACTTGATTGTAGTACATTTGAAAAAAAACATATATTGCTGGATTCAGTTTGTTAAAATTTTGCTGAGGATTTTTAAATCTGCGTTCATATGATACTGATCTATACTTTCCCTTTTTTGCAGTGTCTTTGGTTTTTGTGTCAGTAATGTTAGATTCATAAACGGAGCTGCGAAACATTCATTCCCTCTTCTATTTTTCTGGAAGATGTAGTGCAGAGTTGATGTTATTTCTTCTTTAAATGTTTAGTAGAATTTACCAGTAAAACCTTCTGAGCCAGGAGATAGCTTTTTCAGAAGGTTTTTAACTTCAAATTCAGTTTCTTTAATAATTATAGAACTATTCAGTATATGTATTTTATCTTCAGTGAATTTTGGTTGGTTGTTGTTTTGGTTACCTAGTACTGCTCTGACAGGAATATACCACAAATGGGATGGCTTTAACACACAGGAGTTTAGTCTTAAAATTTGGAGGCTTTAAGTCTGAGTTCAAATGCCAGACTCTAGGGGTTGGGTGAAAGCCCCTCAGCCTTGGGCTTTAGCTCTGCCTCTGCTCCCAGCCCATTGAAGCTGGAGGCTTCTCTTCACTCAGCTGCTGGCTGCTGAGGCTGACAAGGCCAAGGTTTGACAGGTAAAAAGGCACAGTCCCAATGTTACCAAACCACACAGCAGGCCATTGAAGTCCATTGCAAATCCCAAGATCGGCAGAGCATGGCAGCCTGCTGAACAACAACATGGCTACATGCAGGGTTCAAGCGTGCCATCAGCTGGAGACTGTTCCCAAAGGCTTCTCCTTATATACAGGAAGCAGACCACATCCCTAAGGGCTGCCTTAATCAGCTGCTCACAGTAGATTCCACCATGAAGTTAAATACTAGTCTCATCATGGGGAATACTGCATCCAGCTGCCCAGCCACTAAACCAGGCCCAGCCAAGTTGACACACAAACTTAACTACCACAGTTCCACCCCTTGTCAACTTGACAGCTGTACGGATCTTCAGTGGGTGGCACCTGTACAGATCTCCTTCACTGTGTGGGTCCAGTCCCCTAGTTTCTGAATGGTGGCCTCACCTCCTTGGCCTGGCGGCCCATTCCTCTCCCTCTTGGGCATGGCAGCCCTGTCCCCTCACTCTTGCTCAGCGGCTATGGCTCCATCCCACTGGCTCACGTGAACGAGCAGCCCCACACTCCAGAACCAAGTTGGTGAAGGTCTGACTCTTTGAACATAGGGGTTGTGGTGGTTCCACCCCCAAAGGCCATGGCCCTACCCTTCAGGCTGAGGCAGCTCTGCCTCCTGTCTCCTTGGTCTCTCAGCTTCTGCCAATTAATGCAACCCACTCTGCCGGCAATCTGCTGCCTCAGAAGCACTCAGCTTTCTTGTTCTGTGGGCCAGCCAACCTGCTACTCTATTTCATGCCAGTCTCTTCTACCAATTAACACCCAAAGGCAACCCACTCCACCACGAAGCCGCCTACCTAGTGGCATCCAGCTTTCTCCTTTGTGGGCTGGTAAGGCTGTCCTATCTCATGCTGGTCTCTGGGCTCTGCTACTGCCGTCTCTCATGCTGATCTCTCTGTTCTGTTTCCGCCATCTCTCATGCTGGTCTTTTGGCTCTGCTCCTGCCATCTCTTATGCCATAAGTCAGGGTCTCTCTGCCAGGGTCTCGGGTCAAGGATGCACTCCACTCCTGTGTCCACATTTTAGGTATCTGTCAGAACAGCACCCCCCTCTCTCAGTACCAAATGTGTTACGTTAGTCTGGGTTCTCTAGGGAAGCAAAACCAGTAAAGCTTACAGAGAGAGAAAAAAAAAAATTAGGAAAATGGCTCACACACTTACACAAGCTGACAGGTCCCAAGTTCTTGGATCAAACATCAAGGTGGAGGCTTTTCCTGACTCACACAGCTACAGAGGCTGACGAGCTCAAGGTTGGCAGGCGGTATACCAGCTGTTGACTCCAACGAATGACAAATCCAAGATCTCCAGGTCGAATGGTGGATTTTTCACTCACGGACAGTTGTAGGCAGCATAGTAGGATCCCAATCCACAGAAAAGTCTCTTTTTCACAGGATATCCATAAATACATTGGAAGCAGGCCACATCCCTAGGGAAACTCCCTTTCAATGGATTGGCTGCTCAAAACATATACATCAGATCTCATCATGAGAATAACCCACATCACAACTGATTAAACCATTCAGAATTGTGGTCCAGCCAAGTTGACACATAATCCCAACTATCACAATTGTGGTTTTTGAGGAAACCTTTTTTCTCATGCTTTCTTTTGGGTTATTTAAACATTTTTTTTAGTATTTAATTTACTTATTATGGTGTCTACTTACCTCTTTGCATAAGTGTTTTTAATTGGTTGCTTTAGGAATTACAGTACATTCTTAACATTTCAAACCAAGATTCAGTATTTTACCACCTGAAGTGAAATATAGAAACCTTAGATGGGGCAATCTACTTCCATAGTGATACTGCCTCAGAAACCCAAGGAGGGGTCACTATGAGTTGGATCCGACTCGATGGCAGTGAGTTTGGTTTTTTTTTGTTTGTTTGTTTATCACCATATAGGTCACTTTACCTTCCCCTTGTATGTTCTAATTATCTTATTATATGACATCTACATACATTGAAAACCTCATCAAACAGTGCTATAGTTTTTGTTTTCAGCTGAAAGATTTATGTTTAAAAACTCAAGAAGAGACAAATAGTCTATTATATTTACTCAGATGTTTATAGTTTTTGTTGTTCTTCCTTCATTCCTGATGTTCAGGTTTCTTTCTGGTTGCTTTTTCTTCTGTCTGAAGGATTTCCTTTAGTAATTCTTTTAGAGCTGTTTGCTTACAACCCATCCTCTTAATTTTTCATCATCTGAAATCTCAGATGTGTCTCTATTTCATCTTCATTCCTGATGGATATTTTTGTCAGATATAGAAAATGGGTTATTTTCTTTCAGCACTTTAAAAAGGTTATATACCACTTCCTTTTGGCCTCTGTAGTGTCTGGTGAAAACTCTTGGCCAAGTGACAGGACAGAGCAAAAAGTAATAGTGCTTCACTCTACCTTCTTGGGACCAGAGCTCCTCCAATCAGAAGAAAAACTCAGAGTTCTGGCTCTTGACAGGTGTGCTTGTAGCCTCTGCTACCACCACACGTGGATTGCTTGGGAGCTGGGGCAAGCCCAGGGCCTGGTGAGTCCCCTTTTCTGCTACTTCAGCCGGCACGGGATACCTCATTTTATTGCACTTCACGTTATTGTGCTTCACAGATAGTTTTTTTTTTTTTTTTTTACAAATTGAAGGTTTGTGGCAATTCTGTGTCAAACAAGTCTATTGGCACCATTTTTCCAACAGCGTATGTTCACTTCATGTCTCTGTTACATTTTGATAATCTCACAATATTTTGAACTTTTTCCATAACGCTATTGCAGTTAATAGACTACAATATAGTGTAAACATAGCTTTTGTACACACTGGGAAACCAAAAATTTCTTGTGACTCGCTTTATTGGGATATTCGCTTCATTGCGGTGCTCCAGAACCAAACCCACAGTATCCTCAAGGTGTGCCTGTACTAGGGCGCTTCTCCGGGAGCTCCCTCCGCAGCTCAGCACTGTCGTCTGCATTCAGGCTGGGCTGCATGTGGGGGTGGGGGTGGGGTGTTAGTGCAAGGGAAACAAGATGGTAAATTTACTGCTGATCTGATGATACTTCAAACTCTGGTCTTCTTCCCCAGTCAAGCTGCTACTCTTCATTTCCACAGCCCTCATACAGCTGTTCCATGCATTCGTCCAGGTTTTATGCTAGAGTTGCATGGGAGAGACAGGGTAGAGGGTGCATATGCCACTGTACCAAGAATGTCACTACACTCCATTGAAGCGCATTTTAAGCTGGGGAATTAAATATTATAAACTTAGTATAACAAATCACACAGTACAGAAGTGCATAAAGTAACAAGTGAAAGTCATTTACACATTCACTTCTGCCCCTGGCACACTCCCCAGAATGATGTCTTTTACACACACACACTTTTTTAATTACAGAAATGAGATTATTTGTTCTACAACATTTTCCGCTGTCAGATCATGCAGATTGACCTCATTCTTTTTAATGGATGCAGAATATTGTACTAAATGGTATTTCCTGATTTATTTTAAAATTCTTTATGTACATTTAATTTTTTTTTAATTACGAATGGCTTTTCATTTTAATGTGACTCTAAGGCATCTATTGAGACAATCCTAGGTTTTTGTGGCTTGCATTTTCTAAAGATCCCACTGGGTATATGGAAGATTGATTTGGGGAAAAGGGGAGGTGGGCAGCAGGGGACAGTTGACAGCCTCTCAGGTACAGGTGAGGAAGGCTGGAGCTAAAACAGTGATTGAGGAGACACAGTCAGCTCGACCTGGTGCTTCACTGAAATGAAGGGAAATTGGGAGTGAGTATGTGTGGAGGAGAGTCTGGTGGACATCTTGGCGCTGATCTCAGTGGTGTTCATTAGGTGGCCTTGAATCTTCCATTGTTGTTGTTGTTGTTATGTGCTGTCGAGTCAGACCTGACTCATAGCGACCCCTCCTTTGGTTTCCGAGGCAGTATCACTGTGGAAGTAGATTGCCCCATCTTCCTTCTGAGGAGTGGCTGGTGGGTTTGAACCGCCAGCCTTTGAATCTTTCATAGCAGGTGCAATCTTTGAGGTACCCTGGGCTGGGTTTTCCTGGGAGAAGGTAATGAAAGCAGATTAAATGGGATCCTGTCAGAAGTGGTCACAGATTATGGGGAGTCATGGGGGTACCATACAGGGAGCTATGAGCATATAGGTAGAGGTCAGTCAGGGCTGGGGGTGCCTTAGCACCTTCCTTCAGCCTTGTATTTGCTTCCAGCTACAAGTTTGGATAGTCAGTCCTTTGTGATGGTGCCCCCCAGTGATGAAGTGGTGACTGACCTAGAAACTCTGACAAGCAAATGCCTCCATGGGAAGAACTACTGCCGGCAAGTCCTCTGTCTGTATGAACTTGCCAAGGTATGTGCGCCAGAGGGTGGGGAAGGGAGGAAAGCAGGAAATTGGAGGTGGATTTTGGGTATCGCCATGTCCCGAGCGTGAACGGAGAGTAGAGTACGTGCCAAGATGCTGGCACCCATAAGGCCGTTGAGGAACAGTGGTCACTGGGTCATGTGCCAGGGATATTTGAGTTTGGCTGCAGCTCACCACCCAGAAACTGTGAGCCCTGGTTCTTCATCTGTAAACAATCATTTGACCATTAGGGGCCTTTCCAGCTGTGAGAGATCGTGATTGCTCAGAGCTTTCCATATGGGAGAACCCAAAACAGATTTTAAAAGGGAATGTGATGACTCTGAAGTTGGGAGTCAGAGGAGCCGGGTTTGTGTGTGGCTTCATGCTGGCTGGGGGAGAAAAACAGTAGACTCTGTGGAAGGGGAAGGACACGGGAAAAAGAAAACCAAGCGCTGAAGCCCTTTGTGTTGGATAGGGCTTAGAGACATCTTTGGAAATTTAGACCTTTGTTGCTGCCATGGGAGTGATAAGGAAGGTGCTTCTGCCTTTTATTTAGATTTCTTCTGTTTGATTGCGTTTGAAAAGCTCAGTGTTCCATGAGAGCCCTCTCGTGGTGAACACATCACCTGATGGTTTCTGAAGACAAGCCCTTCTTTTGCTTGGATTTGGCTCCTTGGTGAAGCGATAGAAAGGGTTAGAAAATAGTACTTGCTGCTTCTAAGGTTCCTGCTCAGAGAGAGGATCTTTAAGCTCAGAAAACAGTGGAGTCTGTCCACACAATTTGAGAAAGGGCTGTGTTTTGCTAGCTTTTTCCTGGCTCCTAACAGTAGCTGACTGGCTCTGCCTTCCTCTCAGGAGCTGGGCTGTTCCTATGCAGATGTCGCCACTCAGGATGGAGAGGCTGTGCTGCGGGCAATCTTGGCCTCTCGGCAGCCAGACCGATGCAAGCGGGCCCAGGCCTTCATTAGCACACAGGGCCTCAAGCCAGACACCGTGGCTGAACTGGTGGCCGAAGAGGTGACAAGGGAGCTGCTGACCTCATCAGAGGGAACAGGTGTCTGCCCCCAAGCTGCCCCAGTCTCTCAGACAGCATTCTCAGGTTCCCGACATTAAGGATTTCGAAGTTACACTCATGTACATCCTGTAGGGTGCCCTCATTTTCTGGTTACGCTGGTGGGAGAACACATTGCTTTTGTTTGTTGCTTTTTATTGTGTTCTGATTATGCTGGTAGCTGTGCCCTTCTCTGAGCTAAAGAACTCATGCTGTCCTGTAAGATGACCATGGAGCTTAATGGAAGGAGAGCTGCTGAGGGCACAGGGATCTCCTGGGAAAGGGCTCCCCTCTTCCTCCCAGCTCTCTCATGGCAAAACCTGCACCGTTCTCCACATCTTTCTATTCAGGACATAAGCTGATGTTCAACCCTGCAGAGGAAAGCCAGATATTTCTCCAGCTGACCATGCTGTGTCAAGACCGTACATTAGTAGGCATGAAATTGTTGGATAAGATTTCCTCCGTTCCCCATGGAGAATTGTCCTGCAGTAAGTTTTTGGCCTTTTCTTATGTGTTTTGGGCCCAAATAAGTCTCCAAGAATTCTCCCAGAGTCATTCTTTCCCAAACTCAATTTGGGTCCTTGTTCCTGCTCTGGATCCCTACCCCTCCAGCATTGTTTGTAAGCTCTTGGTAGAAAGCTGTAAGTTTGCAGAAGAAAATATGAAAAAGCACTCCAAAATATAACACACAAAAAGGCAGCCTTTTAATATTTGATATATTTATCTTATTTTACTCTTACATAACCCTGCCAACTGGATGTTACTGTCCCATTTAGAAGTGAGGAAACTGAGGCTTACAGAGGTTGATTAATTTATAGCTATTGGCAGAGCTGGTATGTGAAGCTAGTCTGTGTGATTTCCAAGCCTGCTAACTTTCCACAGTGTGTCGTTCATTATAGTCATTCAGTAGTATGTGTCTCTGATCTTTTTCTATGCCAGTATATAGAGTTTTACATTTCATAGCTGGCATTATATTGTGCATATTGTTTATAATATTTTTACTTTATTAATATACTGACATTGGGAGCTCTGTTGGCATAATGCCTAAAGGCATTTGACTGCTAACCAGAAGGCTGGCGGTTCAAACCCACCAGCCACCCCTCGGAAGGAAGGTTGGGCAATCTACTTCGTAGTGATACCACCTCGGAAACCCAAGGAGGGGTTGGTGTGAGTCAGATCTGACTCGACGGCAGTGCGTTTTAATATACTGACATTAGCATCTTTCTATGTTATCAGATATTTTTCTGCAATGTCATTTTTAGTGGTTATGGTTATATCTTGTTGTTGTTGTTATGTGCCATCGAGTCGGACCAGACTCATAGCGACCCCTCCTTGGGTTTCCGAGGCAGTATCACTACAGAAGTAGGATTTCCCAACCTTCCTTCCGAGGAGTGGCTGGTGGGTTTGAACCGCCAGCCCTCTGGTTAGCAGTCAAGTGCCTTAGCCACTATGCTACCAGAGCTCCCTATGGTTATATACTATTTTTTAATTTTCATTATTTTCTTTCATATAATCAAAAATAATTTTTTATAACCTACTGTGAGACTTTCAGATTGCCTCCAGTTTTCTGCTGTTTTAAGCAGTGTGATAAACATCTTTATAGACAACTTTCTGTGCACATCAGGCTTACTTCCCTCAGATAAATTCCTGATTTGACGGGTGCCTATGTTTAAGGCTGTCACAATAGGTATCTATATCTGCATCTCTCTATAAATAGCCAAATTTCACTCCAGAAAAAAAATCCTTTTCACTTGCACTTAAGCAGTGTGCATTTGAATGTAATTTCCTGGATCCCATCATAGTTTGCAAATTTGATAGGCTCAGAAAAAGCATTTTACTGTGGGTTAGCTGACAAATAAATGGAGATTCTTTGAAGTTAAAGACTTCCATTTTTTAAATAGCCTCCTGTATCTTTTTTTAAGTCTAGTTCAACAGTTAGAGTACCAGCTGTGTGCTAGGTACTTGGAACACTGGGATCCAGTGAACAAGTTAAATAGCAGTCCTGGACACTCCCAAATGAGGAGTGTAATACACAGGAATAACCCAGACTGATGAGGTCAAGAAAAGTTTCTGGGGGAACATCCAAGCTGGGACCTGAAGGATCGGTAGTCAAGTCAAGGGCATTCAGTAGTCAGTGGGAGACGGGGAGGGCTCCTGCACATGCAAAGGCCCAGAGGGCGCAGCGTATCTTAAGGATGAGAACCTCTTTTATATCCTCAACATTGGAAATATTTTTGTTTGTCTTTTTATTGTACTTACAGGGATTGTGAGCGCGTAGTAGTTTTAAATTTGTATGCAGTCAGATCTTTCATTGATCTAGAAAGGCAATTGCAGAACCACCAAATGACACTTGATTAGCTCCTGAGGTCCTCCATTGAGCTACAAGCAGAGAGTATCCTTCAGTTCATGTTGACAGGAAACTCCACCAGTTTGTCTGCAGAGAAAGTTTCTCCATCTTTAGAAAGCAAGAGTCCCTTGCTCTCACTTTTTGGACCTTTTGGAGATACAGTCACTGTGTGACTGACTGTCTTTGAAGATAGAGTTAATCTCTGCGCTGTCATTGAAAGAATACAGGTATCCCCACTTTACAAAAGATTGCTTTACACCACTTCACTTTTACAAAAGACCTGCATTATTAACTGTTTTTGCTAACCAAAAGAAATCTAAAGAGGATTTTCACTTTTATGAAAAAAAGGCAAAAAAAAAAAAACTAGCCTTCAGCGTCTGTTTTGCAGTGAGCCATTAAAGAGGCAGGGCACACCCTGAGCAGCAAGAGTGGCATCAGCAAGCTCCTTCCGCAGGAAACAGACTGTACATACATTATTTCTACTTTACATAGGGTGTCTGTTTATAATATCATTCCTGCTTTTACTATATGTTGTGTTATTTTAGGCTTTATGTGTTATTGGATATGATTTGGCAAGTTATTTTTTGGGGAATGCTCAAAAATGTTTCCCATACAAATTAATGGTAATTACTTCTTTGCTTAACACCATTTTATCTTACAAGAGTTTTCATAGGAATGCTCCACTTTCAGATGGGGGGAAACCTGTAATTCAGGCATTGTCAGGGGCTATCCCAGAACTACAAAAAAAAACAAAAAAACACCAAAGTCACTGCCATAGAGTCAATTCTGACTCACAGTGACCCCCCATTGGGTTTCCAAGGCAGTAAATCTTTACAGAAGTTGATTGTCCCATCTTCCTTCCATGGAGCAGATGATGGGTTTGAACCACCAACCTTGTTAGCATTCAGATGCCTTAGTCACTGCACTACCAGAGCTCCTTGTTGCAGAGCTAGAGCTGCTGAAGTCAAGGACCTCACAGGACTGTTGTCAGAGCCCTCTCCAGACAACTCCTTTAGAGAGTAGTTGGCCAAAGACTTACAACCCTGTCTTAAGAGTGCCTGTACCACCCCCCCACCCCCCCACCTAGCCACAGAGCTGCTGATCCTGGCCCATCATTGCTTCACTTTGACATGCCATATGGAGGGCATCACCCGAGTCCTTCGAGCCGCCCGCCTGCTCACAGACAACCACTTGGCCCTCAATGAGGAGTATGGGCTGGTGGTAAGTAAACCCCTCAGTCCTCACCTTCCACCCTCAGGAAAGCTTTGAAAAGAGCAGATAGTCTGGGGCTCACCTCAGAGCTGATGTGGCCTCAGGCCCTTTTGCCTTTTGATACCATTACCTACTTGGTAGTTGGCTGGGCAGTCAAACCCAGCCCAACCCTTTGTTCTCGGAGTCTGTCAGAACCAGCGATTGCTCCAAAGGAACAGAAAGCAAAAGGTTATCTGCCATGCTCAAGGGCTGACACACACCCTTGCCATGGAAATTAGCTTTTCTAGAGGGCTAAGACAGCTGCATTCCCTCAAAACAAGTTCAGGTCTGCCTCTTAGCTCAGAATTGAAATGAGGTGACGACTCGAGCATCGTGTATTTTTCCACATTCTCTGGGCCAGAGGCTGACCTGAGAGGCTAAGCAAGCCATTGGCCATGTTAATAAGGAGTGACAGAAAGAGGAGGCATGCCTGCCCAGAAGAGTGGCACTTCGGCACTTAGTGGTCACATTTAGAGACAACAGAGGGAATGGCTAGTAGTATCCATATGACTGACATCTTTGACTCCTCCAGAAGTGGACTGCAGTGAGGGACAGGAGTGGGAGGAGAGCTAAGGCTAGCAGCCTGGCCATTAGCCCATCACTCCGGGAGCTGGGCATCGGAAAGCAATTAAACTGGTAAGGGTAGTGGTCTGTTTCAGAGAATTCCAGATGATGATGTAATACTGTCCTCCCCAACTATCCTCAGGTACGTCTCCTCACTGGCATTGGAAGGTACAACGAGATGACATATGTATTTGATTTGCTGCATAAAAAGCACTACTTCGAAGTGCTGATGAGGAAGAAGTTGGATCCGGTAGGTGTGAAGCATTCTGAGCTCCAGGATGACATGGTCAAGAGTTTCAGATTTTCTCAGGAATAATCCTAATCAGGGTGGATCCCTGGGCTATGGAAGGAGGGAATTTGAGACTTCCCCAAGATGTACACTGTTGACTCAGTGGGTTAGACTAGACTAAGTAGTGACCGTGCTGGCAGATGCCACATGTTGAATGTGAGTTTGGCCTCCACCTTGGCCTCTGTCCTCTGTCTCTACTGCCTGAATGGCTGCTCCAAGAGGAACAGAAACCCTCCTTGAAAGCCGAGCTGAAAGTGGATTGACTAGCTGAGGCTGTGTCTGAGAGCTTTCCGTGACTACCCAGGTAGCAGGGGAGCAGTTTTCATGAGACTATGAGAAGGTGTGTTGCTGAGTGAGGAATTAAATGCATAGGGCTGTGCCAGGAAAGCTGGGGAGCTATTTATGATAACCACCAGGAAAGGAGGTGGCTTGGAAGCAAAGCCTTAGTTGCCAGGCCTCTGGGCCTGTCTGTCTTCAGCATTCTGTCATCCATCTGTCATTCATAGAGCTGCTCCATTACTTGTACTGATACCATCTCTGAAGAGTTAAAAACTAAGGTGCACTTTTGGCTCCCGGGAACTTGGGCCCAGCCAAGCAGGACTGAGAGAGAAAGCAGAAAAACATCTCTTCATTGCAGAGCCAGTCAGCAGACAGACCAGCCATCAGGAGGAAAGCAAATCATGGACATGGTTGCACCTTCAGGACCCCCCTCCCGTGGGGTTTTTTTAAATTGTTGTTTTTGAGGCAGTTTTGTTTTTGCATTTAAATATTCTTTTAATAACTTATTTTTTTCTGATTACAAAAGTAATGCATATTCAATATAAGACACTTGGAAAATGGAACAACACAGAAAAAAAGCCCTCCATGTCTGTCCACCATCTGGAGACAGCCCCTGCTGACAGTTTATACATGTACCAACAAACACATACATACATATTTACATATTTTAACAAAACATAGGCTGTGCAGATATGAAATAGTCTGTTTTTGCACTTAATGGTAAGTGTTACCATGAGTATTTCCCAAATCACCAGATAGTCTTCTACCATCAGTTTTAATGGCTGCATGTTATTCCATTATTTTATCTGTATTTTAGACATTTAGATTGTTTCTCATTACTGACAGTATCTTTGTTACTGTCCTCTGAGCACTTTTCTCTGCCTGTTTCTTGTAGGATTGATTCCTAGAAGTGGAATTGTTTTAAGAGCAAAGCATATGTACATTTTGAAGGCATCTCACTTCTGACATGTCTTACCAGTCACACTCCCTTGAGCACAGCAGCATGCCTGTTTCCCTGTACTCAGGACAGCATACATAAGCTTCTGTATTCTTTTTCAGATTTGCTCATATTTTCCTTTTTCTTGAGTTTTTAAGGAACTTTAAGTATAAATTAAGGGACTGTCATTCCTGCCTTCTGTGTGGTCCCTGGCTGAGACTGTGGTATTCCCTCTCTTCCTGGGTAGAGTGGCACCCTGAAGACAGCCCTTCTTGACTACATCAAACGCTGCCGTCCTGGGGACAGTGAGAAGCACAACATGATTGCCCTTTGTTTCAGCATGTGCCGGGAGATAGGCGAGAACCATGAAGCAGCTGCCTGCATCCAACTGAAATTGATTGAGTCTCAGCCCTGGGGTGAGCAGAGGTCACAGCATATCCCCAAGGCACTGATGCTAGCCACGGAAGGTTTTTAGGGCTAAGGCAGGCAAGAGCCCACGAGACTAGCTGTTAGAAGCCAGGGTGGGTATTAGTTATGTAGTGGGGCTCCAGTGGGGTAGATAATGAGATAGAAGGTCTTAGAAGGTATCTTATACCTCTAGGGATCTGTAGCCTCTGCAACCACGGTATTACCCACCAGGAACCCATGTATCCACTGATGTCCAGGATGAGCCTTCCTTGATGTTTCAGAAAAGGACCTAAAGGGGACGTTAAAGTCTGCTCCAGAATGAAGCTAAGAGTCCCAGGACGTGCATTTACTCAGCCTTCACCTGAGTGAGGCATCATTCCTGCCTCCCCATACGTGAGCTGGGATGTTTCCGCTCCAGCCTACCATCACTGTGAATGGAGTGGGAACAGCCTGCCTTAAGTCTCAGACCCAACAAGTCTCCTTCCTTCCCCTGCAGAGGAAAGCCTCAAAGATGGGCACAAGCTGAAGCAGCTGTTGCTGAAGGCCCTGACGCTGATGCTGGATGCTGCAGAGAGTTATGCCAAGGTGACCAGAGTCTTATCCCAGACCAGCTTTGGGGCTTGATATCTGTAGAAGGAATTTTGTCCTTGGGCTCTTTTAGGGTAGAGAAAGGGGACTCATGGGCCAACCAGGGACAGAAAGGGTGAGTACAGTTGCTGGAGGATTAACATGGGAGATGAGTGTCTTTGTTTTCCCTCTACCCTTGTCCCTCAGGACTTCTGTGTGAGACAGGCCCTACGCTGTCATCAGCTCACTAAGTTGATAACATTGCAGATTCACTTTCTGAACACTGGCCAGAACATCATGCTCGTCAACCTGGGCCGCCACAGGCTGATGGACTGCATCATGGCCCTACCTCGGTTCTACCAGGTGAGCAAGAGAGAAGACTCTAGCCAGTACTGCCAGCATGGCACTCAGACTGAGTGATTTGCCTAGGTCCCCAGTTCTCCTGATTTAGCTGATACACCACATTCCCTCTTTTCCTGGTAGTACTTCTCATTAACGTATTTTTTGGGCAAAGATGTTAGAGAATGGTGAGAAGTCACCCATGCTGTTAGGCCAGCAGATACATAGCCACCTTTGTCCCCTAAGACAATTGGGGTGAGGAGTAATGTCTCTGTGAGTGGTCCGGCAAGCATCTCTTAGCCCCAGCAGTTTAGGAATGTTGCACCCAGGTTAGCACAGGGAGTTAGGCCTGGTGGGAGACTGGTTTGAGCCCTTTAACAAGTAAGGATGGCTGTCAGGGAATCAGCCCTTTCTCATAGAGTGAGCTGGTGGTAACAATAAAGTTGTTATTCTCAGCAGTTTTATCAAGCCATTGTTGAGGAAGATTAAAAACAATGAAGGAAGGAGTCTGGAGGTTTGAGGGAGAAGTGTCAGACTAACACCAGACTTTTCATCCTGAGCCCTGATCCGCAGAGCCTTTTACATAATTGGTAATGATCACATTCACTGTATGAGTTACCTATTGTTTCCTAGAACAATTTCCTTCAATTTTACATCGAATAGGCTCTGATGGCTTTCTTCCCTCCTGTTCTTTTAAGGCTTCCATTGTGGCCCAGGCCTATGACTTTGTTCCAGATTGGGTTGAAATTCTGTACCAACAAGTGATTCTTAAAGGCAACTTTAATTACTTGGAAGAATTTAAGCAGCAGAGGTTACTAAGATCCAGTATATTCGAAGAGATTTCAAAAAAGTAAGTTTAAGAGGTGATGAGAAGCATTTCTCCTTGCCTCTGCTTTGAGGTAAGGCATGAATAAGAATTTTATGGCCAAGTACTATATACCTTTAGCTACCCCCTGAGAAGGCAGAGAGTACCTTAGAGGAAGAACTCTTTTAAAAGATACATGTAAACAATGAATAAGAACAGAATCATATGGCACTTACACTAATAATGGGAGGATAGCTACTCAGCTTGCCTAAGGTTTCCTTTGGAGTACTGCATTTATTCTAATGTAAGTGAGCATTAAGATATTTTTAATGCAGTTGTTTCAATGTTTATGAAGCAGCTCCCAGTACTAGTCTATGTATCATTTCCCATATTTCAGCATCCTCTTTTTCAATAGGTAGTGAGGAGTGTCAGAGCTAACAGCACTCACTCACCAAGATGCAAGATCTTAACCTGTACACTGTTTCTTTGTCTAGATACAAAAAACATCAGCCTACTGACATGATGGTGAAAAACCTGAAGAAGTTACTCACATATTGTGAAGATGTCTATCTGTATTACAAGCTGGCATATGAACACAAATTTTATGATGTTGTAAACATGCTTCTGAAGGACTCTCAGACAGGATGCTGTCTAAAGGACATGCTGGCAGGTTAGACAGATTAAGATGACATTAAGGTAATTACTGCCAAGATGTCATGGGTGCCTTTTTACCCTTGTACTGCAATGAGGTCCTGGCAGGTGTCCATCATCAGTGTAGAATATTGGTGGAATTTTGTAGTCTGAGTTGTAAAACACCAGGACCATTCCACATTAGTCCTTGTGAGTATTAGGCAAAGAATGAAACAGACTTTTCACAATGAAGTTCCCACTTAACTGCTCATCTGTGCCATTTTATATGGCTATTAAGTATTACTACCAAAAGCTTTATCTTCCTCAGGATGGCTTCTATTTTAGATAAAATGCTGATTAAAGAATACCTGTACCTGCAGATTCCAGTTTCAAAGGAATTTAATATTATTTACACAGTTAAGGAACCGGTGATTTATTTCCATTTGTTAGAAACTGACTCCCTATAATAAAATAGATTGTAAATTCAGTATGTCATTATTACTAAGGTACTCCTAGCCCTTATCAGTCATAAAACCATCTTTGCTGTAATTATTGCTGTGTAGTTACTGCTTTCTATTAATCCCTTAATTAACTCAGATGGCCTTTCTTTCCACTTAATAGTCTACAGAGCTTTGATTGAAAATCCTATTTCCTATGCAGAAGAAAGTAAGAACTCTCCCCTACCTCCATTCTGTGATGATTAAAAAACAAAGTGAACAGACTGCAATCACAAATTGTGGTTAAACAGCTTATGATAAATAATAAAGAAGGCCACCCTAATCACTTATGGATGACTAATTGTACATTATATCACTGTTAACAACCTATCCCCCCCCCCCAGAGTTATAGGCTTAATTACTCTAAATAAATACTTCTTTTAAGATATTAGATCTTCTTTGTCTTTAAACAAAATAATTTTCCCAAATAAATAAGAGGAAGGCATCCCTACACCTCTGTTGCTCTTAAGGGTGACACTATTAAGAACCTGGCCAATTATTCTTGTTTTAAAGCTGTAACTACTGGTCAGGCATTTATTAAGCTTTAGTAAGTATACAGAGAAGACTTCTAGTCCCAAGAGCTGTTCTCTACTCTCCAGAAATACCTCTTGGGAGGTAACACAAAAAAATTAAGTCCTCACAATAGTGATTTTATTAAATTAGTTGCTTTATAAAACACTGCAGATATCGTAATTGTTAACATAACAATTTACCAAACTGTAGTTAACTGGTGCAGTTTGCTGAGCATGTTTTATAAAGGAAAGGAAATGCCAAAACCCTATTAAAGTTGTTCCACTGCAGCCTAGGAGAACAAGGGAGATTTGTTTCTCAGACATTAAACCAGGCAATTAAAACAGGTGAAGTTTCCCTCCCCCATCCAAAGAATGCCATCAGTAGAAATTGATTCTGATAAATATAAACTAGACAGTCTTTGTATTCAAAGAGATTCCACAACTTGAAATGCAATAATGGAGAGGTTTATCTTCTTCAATTTGAAAGTTGGAGGGTTTTGGTCATTTAATTTTTAAGTATCAAACCTAGTGGCTTTTTAGCCGCAGTATCTTCACTCTGAGATAAGCAGTCTTCTTCACATCATATGTTTAATATCCTCACGCTCAATTTTAAGACAAAGCAATTTTAATACTAGGTGCACAAGACATGCCCTTGGTGCAAACTGCTTTTCTTGACAAGTTATGAAGTAGTTCAAGGAGGTATGGTTAAGGCTGTATTACTGAATGGTGCTGGTAAATACTACACAATTGTTTGTCATGTTGCAACCTTCTTCCCAATTTAGTGACTGCTGCTTTGGAATCAGATAGCAACAATGACAACATTATTAGGATTTTTTCTTTTTTTGTTTTTACTATGATTTAGTAGCAACTGAGGTTCCCCGATATTAACCCCTTGGGAGCAAGACCCAAGTTCCCTCATTCGCACATTAGCACCTAAAAGTCAAGGGGTTAAATAACCAGCACAAAAGATACTGCACTTCTGATTGTAGCATTTGGCAGAACTGAAAGGAAAGGAAGTTGTGCTACATGTTGAAGGGATTGTGGGCAACAGAAAGAAGACACCAGAAGAAGATAAAACTTTGTCACATGAAGTCTTCATAGTCTTGTACATATCCTCCATCATAACCACCATAGTCTGCCAGATCGTCTTTCATGGTAGCCTTTAATCCCCCTCCAGGAACCACACCTTTCTTCTTCTTTTTGGCTTTGCTTTGCTAAAGATGAAAGAGAGTTAATTCATGAGATTCCATCTAATCTGAGCATCTAACCTGTATAAGCAACCCTCATAGAGACACCAAATCCTCTGGTCCCAGAAAAACTCTAGTTTTCCTAAAGGAAATCCCCACCTAAGGCAACAAGTGCATGTCTGTAAACAAAAGGTATTAATGGCACCCATACACCTGTTATTCCAACTTAAATGGTACTGGTGAATTTCTTGACTTTTCCATTTCTTAAGTCAGGCTCCTACTATATTTGTTGATAATAATAGTGTAACTGCCTCTAAATGCTGCCTCATTGTGAATTTTCCTCCTTGCCTATACCCCATCCTAATGGAATACAATTTCCCTGTACAGCTTACTCTTACCTTCTCTTGCTTCTGTTTTTCACTGCAAAGCACAGTCAATGAATTGGTAATCTTTTTCAAGTCATCAATTTCCACTAAAAAAAAAAAAAAAAAAATGGGGGGGGTGTATAATATACCTTGATTTTTAAGCATTTTAGAGAGTAAAAAGAATTATACATTTTTCTAAAAGTGTTACAAGAAATCTAATTTTTCCATCATTAACTTTACTAACTTTGGAATAGCTATGTATTTCTTTTTTTTTTTTTCCCCAACGTAATATAGTAAAGAAACAGTCTATGGCTATGCTCACAAATTAGAACTCACTAAATAAAATGGCAAAGCAAGAGACAAAAAATTTAACTTTATGATGATGACATGTAATCACCAAGACACCATTGATTCAATAAAAGAAAAACTTCATAGTGTCATCACTCACAGTGCTCCCACCACTCTCCATCACCCAGTCTGCACAGCTGCAGGGAGAGAACCATGCTCTTCCACAGCACATCCTCTGTGCTCTGGGAGGAGCAGCTGAGTGAACAGGGAACAATTCTTAAACCCACAGAAGAAAAAAACTCCTGGCATCTTCATTTTCTAGCACAGAAACTAGAATGACAATAGTGGGTATCTCAGAAACCTGCGTCCTACACCAAGAGGGACCAGTTAAGTGAACCTTATAAAATGGAAGCTGGAAACAGGCACCAGTTGTCAGATACCAAAAATTCTTCAGGTGCTTTGCTTAAAAAGCATCTCCAGAAACAGGAAAAAATAATACATGTGCAGAACAAAAAGATCAACTATGATAATATCCCTGTTCAAATTTAAAACCTAACTCAGTGATGATTTCTCAAAGAAATCCCAATTTCAAAGTCATTGCATAGGATTCCTATGAATCCTAACTGCAAATACTAACAAAACCAGTCCCTTCCACATTCGTGCTGCACCACCCACGTTGTCACTCCCATTCACCCTGCCCTAAAAAGTGTGACTCTTGTCAGGGCATGGCACCACAGCTAAAGACACAGAGGCCATGCATGGGTGCCAGCTGTCAAGCTAAAGCCTCACCTAGGATTAAAATTCGATATACCCAAGATCATTTCCCCAAAATAATACTTCCTAGCCACTTAGGCATAGGACAAATAGTGTACAATCCCAATTATATGAGAGATCTAGAAAAGACTAAAGGACAGAGACCAAAACATGGGGGTACAGGCAACAGGGAGCTACTAAGGTATTCTGAGTTTCTGTTTAAGGTAATAAACATTTGGAAATGGAAAGTAGTGATGACAGCACAACATGGTGAGTGTAATTAATGTCATTTAATTGTACACTTAAATTTTACTACAATTTAAAAAGAAAAAGATAAAAAAGAACAAGCCACTGCTAATATTATTAACTGCTGTGCTGACAAGCCCAGATGTCTGGGAAGCCACTGTATAACATAATTAACAAGGCAGCCTCAAAAAGCCTCCCTGAAAAACCCCACAAAACATTCAACTTACTGTGTATTTGCAGAACAACATGCCCAAGGTAATTACTAACTAGCAAATCCTAAGTTATAGAATCCAAAATGACTTCCATCCTCCTGAATATGGTGTGTCTGTCCTTAATAAAATCCACCCACCAGTGTTAGAGATTAGAATTACTTACATGAAATACACACGTCTCGAACTAAGGCTTCCAAAAAACTGGCATAATACAATGATTTTTCATATTGTGTAATTTTATCTTTTAGTAACTTTCCAAACTCTGTGAAGTCATCTCTTGAAGATGGGTTCATAGCATCTATTCCATAAACTGTATTATTAACACCTGTAAGACAAAGCAACATTGAAAATGTCAAGATAAATTTATAAACCAAACAGCTACTTTAATGAATTTCATTCTCAAACAGGGGCTTATTGGGGACCAGGGGTCCATTGGGGATTCTTGGGGATTCATAGGCCCTATGAATTTGGATGGAAACAAATTTACATCTTTATTTCCACTAACCTCTAATTAAGCATTTCCTTCCATTTTGATGAAAGGTAAGAAATCACAGTGTTATTAGCAAAACCTGACTCATCAATAGTACTCACAGATACCTCAAAAACAGTCACAGTCATTACTTTACTCATTAGACCTGTCACTTGATCTTGTTACTTAATGCATTAAGCAGCCCACAATTACTGCATTACAGATTTGTTATTTTAGTATTTTGGCATCTGTTTCAATATAACAGGTTTCCTTTCTAAGTAAAATCCTCCACATTTGGAAACATTACATTGGCACACTCTGGGGACAGTAGAGGGAGAGAAATCAAGATTTCCTTTTCAAGATGGGAAGTCCATCAGACCCAGCTATGATTTGACCTAGCACTGCACAGGCCTATGAGATGCTACCATCTCCCCATACAAGCAGTTCAAGAAAGCAACCTGTGAGTGCAATAGTTGGAAACCTTTTAAGGAAAACAAGATCATCATTTAGTTCCTG